GTTGTAATATGTTTTACTGTTTTGAAACACTTATGTTTGTGTTCAGTGAAGTCTCCCAAGTATAACAGTACCCCCTATATACAGGTTACATGGTGTTTTGGAAAGTAAAAGAGTAAAATATAAGGCTTGCATTTCATTTTTTTCACATTGAAATTTGCCAGTTTGGTTTGAGACCGTATGGTAGCCCAGGAATGAAAATTACTTCCATGATTGAATACCATTTGCAAAAGTAGACAACCCAATGTATTGCAAATGGGGTATGTTCAGTCATTTTTAATAGCCACTTAGTCACAAACACTGGCCAAATATGAGTTTTTTTTACTTTTTTCACACGCATAAATATGAACTCTAACTTTGGCCAGTGTTTGTGACTAAGTGGCTGCTAAAAAGGACTGAACATACCGCACTTGCAATACCTTGGGTTGTGTAATTTTGAAAATGGTATGCCTTCATGGGGGTAATTCTCATTCCTGGGCTACCACACAGTCTCAAAGGTACCATTACTAATCTGGCAAATTTTCAGGTGAAAACAAATGCAAAATGGAATGTGCTATATTTGACCCTGTAAACTTTCCAAAATACCGTAAAACCTGTTAATGGGGGGTACTGTTTTACTCGTGAGACATTGCTGAATACAAATATGTGTGTTTTATTGCAGTAAAAGTGAACAGTATCATGACATTTACAGCTAAAATGTCAGGCGGAACTACAATTTGTTTTTAATCTTAATTTCTCACAGTTTTTTTGTTTTGTTTTTATTCATAATAAGTTATGTTTCATATATGAATAGCTAATGGGAAACTAAAGCACTGTTTCTCCTGAACAAAATGATATATAATAAGTGTAGGTGCACTTAATATGAGAGAGGTGAATTACGGTTGAACAGACAAATAGCGCAAATTCCAGGTTTTGTTAACATTTTGTTTAGATCAGAATGTGTATTATTGACTCCGTCCTGAAGGGGTTAAAGGTTTTTTTCCCTAAAGATTTTTCTTATGGATTTTTCCTCATATACTTGTAGAGAATCTTTGCTAAAATTCCATACTATAATGTAATATATGGTTGTGACGAAGTGCCCTTCGCCACTTGTGCCTGGAGGGGACTACTGGCTAGCCTCCTGCCTTCCGACTATGGCCCATGTGCTGATAGCGGTATTTTCCCCTGCAGAAAGGTTTATTTGTGTATTTCTGCTGGGGCGTTCTGGACTTTCAGTATGGTAGTAGGGCTATCCCAGATAGCTATGCCATGGAGCCTATTTGTGTAACAAAAGACTATGGAAAAGACTTTGGCTCCATGGCGATTGAATTGTATGTATGTGATCTGAGCACCATTCAATAATAATGTGCACTCAGATCTAAGCTATCTGGGGATATGTTGCATGTATATGTTTTATATAGTAATTGTAACATTGTGTAATTTTATGTCTTTTTGTACCCATGTGGTTAATGGAGTCTTGCCTCTGTCCTGGGAGAAAATTTGATTACTTCCCAATTATCTCCAGGATAGAGAGGAGGGATTGTGATGTCACTGTGGGAGTGTTTTGTTTGTATTGTCTGTGATTGGTTATACTGGGTCCCACCCTGTGGGATGTCCCCTTGCATGGGGACTTGCATAAAAGCCAGTGTGTGGTCATTAAAACAAGATCATCTTGTACCTTTCTTGAAGCCTTGGCTCATGTTTGGGGGCAGGGATACCTACACTCTGGGGATTGCTATAATCACTTACTCCCCAGAGTAAGCTATTGCAATAGCTTGATTTGTCCCTGCTACGCTCTCTGGATTTAGGAGAGGTTCACCCACTGGGAATTGGATCCTGGTCGTGGATCCAGGGTGGGTGGAAACCCCGGCGCAGCTGTATCGCTGGAAGTGGGATCTGCAGTGCTGATGGTGTCGGTTAGAGTGCTTGGAGTCCTCGGCAAGCGCTAGGAGCATCGATTGGCAGAGGTACTCAGTCGGAGTGCCAGCGTTCCGTCACATTTGGTGGCAGCGGCGGGATGGCGTCCTAGTGCGAGGACCAGCAGCTCGGAGACACCTGTAACATGTGGAGTTACGGATTTATAATTGAGGGCAACGCTAGCCTCTGCGCAGCGTCCCTACCTACAGCAACATGGAGCTAGCAAGACCCTGGACAGCAGCCAGTGAATTGCAAATCCGCCTGTTACAGTGCTATGAGGGTGCTGATTTCATGAAGGAAGTAAAGGCGCGGCTCGTCTGGTTTGGCCCAAACCCTTCAGATGAGGTGGTCCATCAATTGTTGCGCCAGTTGAGTGCTGAGAACCAAGAAGCACGGAACTTCGAGTACCAACTGTGGAGTTTGGGGGTATTGACACCCCGTCTCCAGCGACAGATTGAGTTACAGGGAGAGGAGAGCAGCGACCTCCACTTCCCAGCGGCAGTGCACCGTACAGAGGGAAGAGACAACCGGTCTCTCTCCCCAGCGGCGGCCTGAGTTCCAGGAGGAGGTGATGGTAGATCCCTCCCCCATACAGCAAAAAGCGTCCTGGGGAGAGGAGGCAACCGGCCTCCCTCTCCAACAGCAGCCGGAGGTGGGCGACCTCATAGACTTGTCCTGGGGACACACAGAGATGGCAAGCGGAGATGGGACCGAAGTCTCTCTGCCGGCCCTACAGGGATGCTGGGCAGTCAGCCCAGGTCCCCAGCGGCAGTATAATATACAGGGAGAGGAGACAACTGGTCTCTCTCCCCAGCGGCAGCCTGAGTTCCAGGAGGAGGTGATGGTCGATCCCTCCACCTTACAGCAACCAGCATCCTGGGGAGTGGGGGCAACCAGCCTCCCCCTCCAACAGCAGCCATAGATACCGGGAGAGGGGAAGACAAACCTAACCACACTGGCGCAGATGGGACCGCGGTCTCTGTGCCAGTCCTACAGGGAGGCTGGACAGGCGGTCCAGATCCCCAACCAACCCCGCAGGGATGCCAGGAGGAGGAGGTAAGCGAAACTTCCCCTCCCCTGCTACATCCCAACCGGGTCTTGGGGGCAGTGGATGAGCCTGCGAAGAGCTGGCATCTGGGCAGAGCTCTGTTAGCCTCTGCCCCCCCCTTTTCCCCTGTATCAGAGCCTGACTTACCACGGGTTACCCCTGTGGAAGAGCTGGCAGCAGGGCAGAGCGCCGCTGGCCTCTGCCCCCCAAGCAACACTAGCAGTTTGCCTAGCTGCACCAGAGAGACCGAGAGTGCTGCGCTGTCCCACTACAAACTTGAACCTACAGGCCAGTACCATTTATTGTGGGGGGGCTACTCTGCGTATTTTTCTTTGTGGGTGGGCTGCCCGACTAACCTAGGTACTGACCAGCAGAAGGTCAGGTACCTGTTTAGTCTTCCCCCCAAAGGGAAGATGTGTGACGAAGTGCCCTTCGCCACTTGTGCCTGGAGGGGACTACTGGCTAGCCTCCTGCCTTCCGACTATGGCCCATGTGCTGATAGCGGTATTTTCCCCTGCAGAAAGGTTTATTTGTGTATTTCTGCTGGGGCGTTCTGGACTTTCAGTATGGTAGTAGTGCTAACCCAGATAGCTATGCCATGGAGCCTATTTGTGTAACAAAAGACTATGGAAAAGACTTTGGCTCCATGGCGATTGAATTGTATGTATGTGATCTGAGCGCCATTCAATAATAATGTGCACTCAGATCTAAGCTATCTGGGGATATGATGCATGTATATGTTTTATATAGTAATTGTAACATTGTGTAATTTTATGTCTTTTTGTAACCATGTGGTTAATAGAGTCTTGCCTCTGTCCTGGGAGAAAATTTGATTAATTCCCAGGATAGAGAGGAGGGATTGTGATGTCACTGTGGGAGTGTTTTGTTTGTATTGTCTGTGATTGGTTATACTGGGTCCCACCCTGTGGGATGTCCCGTTGCATGGGGACTTGCATAAAAGCCAGTGTGTGGTCATTAAAACCAGATCATCTTGTACCTTTCTTGAAGCCTTGGCTCATGTTTGGGGGAAGGGATACCTACACTCTGGGGATTGCTATAATCACTTACTCCCCAGAGTAAGCTCTTGCAATAGCTTGATTTGTTCCTGCTACGCTCTCTGGATTTAGGAGAGGTTCACCCACTGGGAGCTGGATCCTGGTTGTGGATCCAGGGTGGGTGGAAACGGCGAGACCACGGCGCAGCTGTATCACTGGAAGTGGGGTCTGCAGTGCTGATGGTGTCGGTTAGAGTGCTTGGAGTCCTCAGCAAGCGTTAGGAGCATCGATTGGCGGAGGTACTCAGTCGGAGTGCCAGTGGACCGTCACAATGGTCCTTTTTTTAAATGTATTTATTTTTTAGAAAAAGTAAAACAAATAAATTATAAACTACTAAACAGCTCATTTGAGTGCTGGAAACATTGCCTGAGAATGTGATGGATTAAATGACTTAAAAAAAAGATAAAAAAGAAAACATTTTATTAATTGGATGAGTACAATATGAACAATCAAACCTGTAGATGATGACATGCACCATATGAGGCAAGAGAGAAAATACCAAACATTATATTCTCAGTTGATTTTCCAGACAAATTTGTTTTATTTTTTTCCATGTTTTTTTCCATTTAAACAAAATGGTATCATACAATACTGCTAATAGCCCATCTAGTAAAGAGTCACAAAGTCTGGGAAAGGGGAAGCAAATGAGAAGAGAGGATGGATTATCCAGGGTTACACAACTATGAAGCACTGTATTGTTAATTTAGGGAGACTATTTGGGAAATGGTGTGAATAATTGTAGTGGCTGTCTGCCTGAAAGGTGCATCCAACATCGGATAACTTAAAGGACCACTCTAGGCACCCAGACCACTTCAGCCTAATGAAGTGGTCTGGGTGCCTGGTCCAGCTAGGGTTAACCCATTTTTTAATAAACATAGCAGTTTCAGAGAAACTGCTATGTTTATTAATGGGTTAAGCCTTCCCCCTAATCCTCTAGTGGCTGTCTCATTGACAGCCACTAGAGGCGCTTGCGTGCTTCTCACTGTGATTTTCACAGTGAGAGCACGCAAGCGTCCATAGGAAAGCATTGTAAATGCTTTCCTATGCGACGGGTTGAATGCGCGCGCAGCGCTTGCCGCGCGTGCGCATTCAGCCCAGGAGGAGGAGAGGAGGCAGAGATCTCCCCGCCCAGCGCTGGAAAAAGGTAAGTTTAAACCCCTTTCCCCTTTCCAGAGCCGGGCGGGAGGGGGTCCCTGAGGGTGGGGGCACCCTCAGGGCACTATAGTGCCAGGAAAACGAGTATGTTTTCCTGGCACTATAGTGGTCCTTTAATTTGCTTTTAATTAGTTATGGAATAAAATTGTCAAAAGTTAGTGCTTTTTTCTTTCAACAAATAAATCAATCGTGGCAAAGTGAATCTATGATATGCATATTTTTTCTTTACACAAATAAAAATATATATGTTTTTAGGGCTACTGCCTCATCTTTTAGTATTTACAACAAGACAAGAGGATACTAAAAATTGCATACTCTGGACTTGTAGGAAGGTGGGGTAAAATAAAAGATTTGAATATTTGTCCGAAATTCTTGAATGTTTGGATGGGTCATGGGGTGGAGGCCAATGAAAAACTTTTACAAAGGGAGAAGAAAGTATAGAAGGATGCAAATCAGCCCCATAGCATCACTGAACCACCACCATGCTTAACTATAGGCAGAGTGTTCTTTTCAGCGTATCCTTCATTCTTCTTCCTTCAGACTTCCGCTGATCCATTGTGATGAAGAATTTCAGGTTTGTGTCATTGCTTCACAAAACAGAATCCCAAAACTTCTGTGGTTTATTTATATGGTTATGAGCATATTGAAGCTGATTTTCTTGTGCTTTTTTGTCAGTAGTGGTGTACATCTTGCAGTTCTGGCATGGAAACCTTCTGCGTTTGGTACACACTTTACTGTGCTCACTGAAACCTCGGATCCTGTTGCCACCAAGTCTTGCTGCAGGTCTTTTGCAGTCACTTGAGGGTTTTTCACTACCTGTCTTCTCATAAATCTGGTTGCAGCCATTGATTCCTTTTTCTGCCCCATCCAGATAATGTAACCACTTTTCCCTCAACTTTGAACTTGTGAACTATGCTTTCAGCGTTGTCTCAAGGAACAATCAGTGCCTTTGTTATCTTTTTGTATCTTGTTCCTTGTTTGTGAAGAGCGATGATCTCTTCTCTTAACTTTGTCGACCATTCTTTTGCCATATTGAGTTAACATGTTAACAAGAGTAGTCCCAGAAGATTGGAAGTTATCGAATGTTGTGCCCATTCACAAGAAAGGTAGTAGGGAGGAGTCGGGCAACTATAGGCCAGTAAGCCTTACTTCAGTAGTGGGGAAAGTAATGGAAACTATGTTAAAGGATAGGATTGTTAAACATCTAAAAACACATGGATTCCAAGATCAGAGACAACATGGGTTTACTTCAGGGAGATCATGCCAAACTAATCTTATTGATTGAGTAACTAAAATAATAGATCAGGGTGGTGCATTGCTTACCAAGATTTCAGTAAGGCTTTTGACACTGTTGCACATAGAAGGCTTATCAATAAACTGCAATATTTAAGTTTGGATTTCAATATTGTTGAATGGGTTAGGCAGTGGCCGAGTGACAGGCAACAGAGGGTTGTAGTCAATAGAGTATATTCGAAGCATGGGCTTGTTACAAATGGGGTACCTCAGGGATCTGTACTTGTACCCATTATTTTTAAAACATTTATTAGTGATATTGCAGAAGGTCTTGATTGTAAGGTATGTATTTTTGCTGATGATACTAAGATTTGTAACAGGGGTAATGTTCCAAGAGGGATAAGCCAAATGGCAAATGATTTAGGTAAACTAGAAAAATGGTCAGAGTTGTGGCAACTGACATGTAATGTGGATAAGTGCAAGATAATGCATCTTGGACGTAAAAACCCAAGGGCAGAGTCCAGAATATTTGATAGTGTCCTAAGCTCAACATCTGAGGAAAGGGATTTAGGGGTGATTATTTCTGATGACTTAAAAGTAGGCAGACAATGTAATAGAGCAGCAGGAAATGCTAGCAGAATGCTTGGTTGTATAGGGAGAGGTATTAGCAGTAGAAAGAGGGAAGTGCTCATGCCATTGTACAGAACACTGGTGAGACCTGACTTGAAGTATTGTACGCAGTACTGGAGACCGTATCTCCAGAAGGATATTGATACTTTAGAGAGAGTTTAGGGAATGGCTACTAAACTGGTTCATGGACTGCAGGATAAAACTTACAAGGAAAGATTGAAGGAACTTAACATGTATAGACTGGAGTTAAGATGAGACAGGGGGAATATGATAGAAACATTTAAATACATAAAGGGAATCAACACAGTAAAGGAGGAGACTATATTTAAAAGAAGAAAAACTACAACAACAAGGACATAGTCTTAAATTAGAGGGGCAAAGGTTTAAAAATAATATCAGGAAGTATTACTTCACGGAGAGGGTAGTGGATGCATGGAATAGCCTTCCAGCTGAAGTGGTAGAGGTTAACACAGTAAAGGAGGTTAAGCATGTGTGGGATAGGCATAAGGCTATCCTAACTATAAGATAAGGCCAGGAATAATGAAAGTATTTAGAAATTGGGCAGACTAGATGGGCCGAATGGTTCTCATCTTCCGTCACATTCTATGTTTCTATGCAGTCAAACATGACACTCAGCAAACCCCTAGCCAGTTCAGTTATTTCAAGTGATCAAGCTCAAGCATACCTGGTGCAACATATGAAGCCCTTGACCTGTTTTACATATTTGAGTTGTTGTGCGGAATTCTATTCAGGTGGTTAAATAATCTTGAGATTAGAAAAGTAAGTTGCATTTTCAGTTGAATTGGGGGAAACCACTTAAAGCATATGTTGTGTTGAGCTACTTCAATTGCTTTTGTTTGATCTGTTCATTGCAAGCAGCTAAAAGTCTGTAAAGTTTGATGAAATAAACCTAATTTTTAATTATTTTTTTAATAAGTACAAGTCTTAAGCCCAACCCTAAACCCTAATGTCTTCTATTAATCACACTAATCAACATTTCCCTGACAATTAAATCTCTCCTTGCCAAATTAGATTGACATATTCCTGTGCCAACTAACCCCCTCCCTAGGTGGCCATATTGATCTTCTAAATAACCCTTTCATCAACCCACACAGATCTGCTAATTTTCCTTAATAAACAATTCACCCCGCACTCAGATCCCACTCAATAATCCGGCCATCTATCTGGGAGGTGCTCTTTGAAAATAGCAGACACCGCAATCTGCAGAAGTCAGAGTGCAACAACATGAAACACAGGTGACACTGCAAGATCTGTGATGGTTTTCTTTATTGAAGGGTAATGTTCATAAAATAAAAAGGCAACGTTTTGACTATATAGCCGTTATCATGCAAAGTGATTACAAACATACTCTGGGTATATAGACCCTTTAAATTAATCAATTAATAGATCACATGGTTAGTCCAATTAACAAATAAATAAATTCTTGAAATCCTGGAATGGATTACTCAAATTGGCTACAGATCTATGTGATCACAAAAAAACTGTATAAAAACAGCATAAAAGACATGACATGCAGTGTTCTCTGTTAATGGTGCATGTATAAAAGTTTTAAAGGACCACTATAGTGCCAGGAAAACATACTCGTTTTCCTGGCACTATAGTGCCCTGAGGGTGCCCCCACCCCCAGGGTCCCCCTCCTGCCCGGCTCTGGAAAGGGGAAAGGGGTTAAAACTTACCTTTTTCCAGCGCTGGGCGGGGAGCTCTCCTCCTCCAATCCTCCTCTTCTCCTCCCCGTCGGCTGAATGCGCACGCGCGGCAAGAGCGGCAAGAGCTGTGCGCACATTCAGACGGTCACATAGGAAAGCATTCATAATGCTTTCCTATGGACGCTGGCGTGCTCTCACTGTGAAAATCACAGTGAGAAGCACGCAAGCGCCTCTAGTGGCTGTCAATGAGACAGCCACTAGAGGAAATAGGGGAAGGCTTAACCCATTCATAAACATAGCAGTTTCTCTGAAACTGCTATGTTTATGAAAAAATGGGTTAACCCTAGCTGGACCTGGCACCCAGACCACTTCATTAAGCTGAAGTGGTCTGGGTGCCTAGAGTGGTCCTTTAACTATTTCATAGGCATATAGTATACTTACATTGTTATGCATATGAAATAAGTTCTTTGCTTATTTCACAATTAAAGCCATGTATTTAATCTCACCATATAAAGATACTGTCAGGATTACTAGTTGATCCAGCCCGTAAAATTATATCACACCTAGGACTAAAGGTAACGTCTTACTGAGCCTTAGAATGGCCGCACTCAATGTACCAGAGAATAGTTAGAATACTCGCCAAGGTCAGGGACACAGAAGGAGACACAACGTTCAGGGAAAGCAAAACGTCAGGGATACCAGAATACAGGGAAGTCAAACAAAGCCAAAGTCAGAAATAAATACTCAGGAACAAACTCTTGGACAACAACAGTTGAGGAAAAGGAAAAGAAGAGTTTAAATAAGCCTCCGTCAGATCTGATTGGCCGTACCCGGCCTTTGACCCCAGAATGTGTGTGCGCGTCCTTTGCGTGACGTCACAGGTACGCTGACTTCGTCAATACAGTGGGCAGACGTGGAGTTATAAATTAGAATGGATCCACAGCGGCCGGCTTCCTTCAACATGCCGCAGGAGTCAGATACACCGGCATATGGCTGCTGAGTAGCACCTCCGTTAATGCCAGAAAGGCATTTTTCATTACGGATACCACAAGGTGAGGATGAACATGTGACAGATACAAACGCTAAGTTTTTATGATTATATTCTGGTGCACATCAATAATCTGAATTTAAAAAATATCATAATGTGTAACCTCTATATGCTCTCGATAGCAAACATTATCAGTCTGAATCAGTTTACATTTATTTAACTCAATATCCAGGTTATAACCTGTATTCAATGGCTTCCCCACCGAAGGTTCTGGTATCCACCCTTTTAATAGCATGTGTGGCCTCTTGCCAGGCTGCCCAATGCTCCCTACCCGTGGGCGGCATTGGGCCGTCACGCGAGGTAGATACGGCTCCCTCGTTCCGTCCGGGTGGACCACGTGGATATTAGTGCACGCGGCCTCCCTCCCCCTCTCTGCTCACTGGCCATGGCTGGGTTTTCCCCTCTCGCGGCGGCCATTTTGGGGATGGAATTTTGCCGCATGTTACTCTCCTCTCACCCAGCACACCACCTGACAGGTTTACTGTAGTTTTGCTTAATTATTACTTTTCTCCTGTCTTTTATTAAACCCTTCGCTTTCACTTGCCTTATATCATGCAGGCTAAGGGTGATGGGCCTGAGGATAAAATGGCCTCTGAGGAGTTTCAGGACCCATGGCATCTTCTGTTCAGAGAGCCTTTGCCTCTGCCATGGGAGCGGTGTCTTGATCACTGTCCCAGATGGTGCAGGCCCTGTTGCTGCCCTGGGTGACTGTGCCTGCCCTACTGGGTCCCCTTCTGCCCCTGCAACATTCGGGGCCCATAAGGCTTCAGCAAAGGCGAAACACCTCACCTCCCACTCCTCGATGCAGGTACTGCCTGCCATGATGGACTCGCTTGAGGCGGTCAAAGATGGCACGCTCCCAACACGCAAAAGAGCCCCTGGCCAGGCAAAAAACGGCCAGATTATGGAAACAGGCTATATCCCGCGAGGAGAGGTTGGACAACGACCAAAGTAAGGAGGGTGACTAGGAAGCTATGGAGTATGACTCTTTTATGATGAGGCTGATACTAAGGAGGATATTTCCCCTACCACAGCGACCATTCCTGGGGCCACCACTACAGCCCAGGGTAGTTGCGCTCGGTCATCGGGTGGGGGCACAGCGCTTCTGGATCCTCAGGGTAAACCCTTGTTCAATCTGGATGATCTTCGCCCCCCCCCAGTTGACTGAGTGGGAACCCCCTGGGCACATTGCTCAGTATATAGCGCATTGTATGCGCAGCCCCCTCTCTAACGAGGAGCGCAGTAAACTGCACATGGAGTGCCCCTGGCCTTCAGTCCCTGGCTCGGCCTGTAAGACCCCTGAGGTGGACCCTCAAATCGCCCAATTCCCAAACAAGTCATGCTGGAAGCGCAATAAGGGTCTTGACTTCTCTCTAGAGAGTTGTCAGGATAAGATAATGGACACGTTGAGGCCCTTGTCAAAGGTCTATGAGCTGCTAGACTCTGCTAAGGCGGGTGAGTTAGAGTTGGACCTAGAAGTCGCCATCGGCTGGGTACAGCGGGCTATCTGCCTTCTTTGTAATGCCAATATGGCTATTTCAGCCAAATGCCCTAAGCTGGTGAATATGGCCATATCAGAGCCTGGTCCCGCAACTGAGGGAATGCTGTTTGGGGACAGTTTTACCAAGGACTTGGGGTCCTACCTGAAGACATTCACGGTGATTGACAAAGCCCAGGCAAATATCAAGAGGGTGTTTTCTCCAAATGTTTTTGGAGGAGCCAGGCGTAATAGGAGCTGTCCACCCGGCCGTGCTTTCCAGGACTTATTCCGAGCCACTTGAGGCTCCTTCTTCCCTATGCGGGGATTCCATGATGCCAAGGCTCCGACCTTTTTCCCATCCAGAGGGAGACTATAGTTGACTCTTGCGTTACACCCGAGGCCACACCGAGAGCAGGCTGTAGCAGTTGCTTTCTCCACCATCCCATGAGGAAGGCAGCCTGCATTCTAGAGTGAGAAGGAGCAAGGCTGGATGGAGGCAGCAACCAACTCAGAATCCATTGCTTCCTGCCATTCACGGATCCTTGTCTGATGGTAATAAAGAAAACTGTCTGTTATCTCACTACGCTCACTCCCCAGATTGGTGGCCAACAGTGTGCCACTGAACTCTGGTGGGCCTCTGTGCCATTGCACCTGATCTATCTGCAGTACTTCCGCTCCTGGATCTAATTGGAGATATTTCTCTTCTCATATTACTGGTAGCTTAAGGATAACAAAGGGCTTCCAGTCCTCTTTTTCAGTGCCAATGTTAACTGCGCTCATTTCCTTTGTCTCAAAAGTATGAATGAAAATATTGACTTGTATGTAGATTTATGTGTCGTTTTATAGATGATTGCTAGAGAGAGAGAACATGCACAGGAAGATGCATTCTCACATGCATGTTGCTATTAAAGTTGCTTTAAAATACATCCTTAACTTCTTTGATGACCATAGTTTAGAGGTATTAGAACCAAGAGTTGACTGTAACATTTAAATAGTATTAAATGGTTGTGTTTAATCAGGAATATTTTCCATCTAAACCTCTTCTAATAGGTGCAATGAGACCAGACTTCAATGTAAAAAAAAAATTTACATGAGACAAAACAAGAAAAAGCTCAGTTTTGACATTTATTTAATATTGCAAGCATTCCAGTGTATATTACTTAGGATATAATTAAGTGCTATTATGCAAGTGCCATTCCCTCTGACGCTTCTTGGTCTGTCAACACGTTCATTGCAAACCCCAAGTAAGACGTGATATGTTGACAGAAAAGAATAATTTAAGATGTAACTTGAAAAACAACCTGTTCACACATACTTTTGCTGAGCAGTTTTGCAGTGTTATAGAACACTGCCTGCTTATCATGCCTATGAATGACTTCCACTGGACCTTGCAGATGGCGTACATATTCTAACTGAACCAACTAAACAATGCATGTATAGATGATAGGAAATTTAGGGATTCTGCTAATGTACCTGCAATATTGTTTTATACTTTAAAATAATATAATGATTTTTATGCACTCACAAATTCCAAATTGATAAAGCGTTTTATGGGTGCCTCCCCACAATGTAGATGGGGGGTTTTAAATGTCCCTCCTAGAGTGATAGCCGATGGGGTATCAGGGTCAGCGAGATGATCCAACAGACTCCAACCAGGTGAATACTTCAAAGGCAATTTATTCACTCATCAGATCGGGTGGTGTACAAATAGAACAATAAAAACAAATATAAAAAGTCCACCGGTCCTACGCGTTTCGTCCTTATACAAAAGGACTTCCTCAGGGACCTCTTTCAAAAACAGCAATTAAATATACAATAACCAACAAGGCAACCTAAAAACGCTACCAAACTAAAAGTCTTATATAGGGCTAATCCCTTCAAATCATTGGTGGAATAGTGGATGTCTTCCCTCTTCTGAACTTCTATTCGCGCCCGGTATCTTCCTCCAGGTGTAACTACTTCGCTGGGGATTCCAATTTTCTTCCGCATTAATTTTGGCCACTTCTGCGGACGTCACGCGTTACGTTCTTGTCATGTGACCGGCGTGTGTTCCACGCTTAAAAATCCAACATGGCCGTGCGTTCCACATCATAATCATAGAAGATACAACCTGAAATCCACTGTCAATGCACACAATAGTGATACCCGGGAAGCTAAACAAGAGGGCTATTAGATATTACATAATAAACAAAACAATAATAATGATAATAATATATCGTCTATATCTAACCAAATTACAAATCAACAAAATATTAAGTATTTAAACTGAATGTAACAACTTCCTATCCAAGTTTACATTCAGTAAAATCATAAATCAACATAATATACATCACAATCTATTATCCATTGCAACATTAATGATTTAATATGTGTAATCTCCTTTCCTTATTTTAGATGGTGTTTAATAGATATAAACTTTAACGTGACATTTTACTTAATTACACATCCATATTGTGCCTACCATAATTAATTGATATCAACCAATTAAATGATTTTCCACTTAAATTACCAAGATCATTATCTATGTGGAGGAAATTCATATCTCCCATATTTATATCTCCCTTTTATCCTAAACAGAGTAACAGTTATTGTGACTATTATGATCTATCTTAAGAGCCTGAAAATATGATGGAACTAATCTCAGTTCCCTCAAGGGGAAATGTTTCAAATAACAGAAAAAGACAAATGCAGAAATAAAAAAAACCAGAGCAAAAAACAAAACCCATACTCTTAAACTAATTTAATCTAGAAAACAGACTATATCCATGTCTACATTTAACCCCCTTGGAGTGAGGGTGCCCAATCTATGAATCCAATATGACTCCCTCTGGGCTAGTCATTTCTCTTTATTCCCCCCTCTCCAGTGGGATCAAATCTATTCTATCCCTATGCAACATAGCCCTTTTAGAAAAAAATGTGGGCAACTGTTGCAATGGAGGGGGACCGAATAGGTATCAAGTTTCTTCTTAATGTTATTGATGTGTTCAAGGAACCTCACTTTTAAACACCTTTTCATACGTCCAACATACTGGCTGCCGCACGGACACTGGAGCAAATACACCACGAAGTCCGAGCGGCAGCCTATCTCTGATTTAATGAGAAACTGTCTCCTAGTGGTGGAGCTAGTGTATGATATAGCTTTATCAATATTAACTTGTGAACATGCTTTGGATTTTTTACATCCATTGAAACCTTTTGTACCCTTCTTATTTTTTGAACCTCTTTTTAAAGCAGAACTTGGTGCCAACAAGTTTTTGCGGTTTTGTTTTTTCCTATAAATGATCTGGTTTCTTTGGCAGATGTTTCCCCAAAATGGGGTCCTCTAACAATATTGGCCAATATTTACATAAACTCATCCTAATTTTAGGATGGTCAATGTTATATTGTGTAAAAAAAGCTTGTTTGAAATTTTCCCCTTTCTTCCTATCAATATGGTGATCTATCAAAAACTCATTCCTACTTTTTTTGGACATAGTACAAATTTCTCTTTCAATCCTTTCCTGTTTATAACCTTTTTTAACAAGTTTGTCAGCTACATGTTGGGCCTGTGTGTGGAAATCTTTAATGTGGGAACAGTTTCTCTAATAAGTTGTCCCTTTGTTATCCCCTTCAACCACGGTTGTTGGTGACAGCTATGCTTATGAACATAACTGTTTCCATCGGTTGGTTTGAAAAAACATTTGGTTTTGATCTCACTTCCTTCACAGAATAGAGTCAAATCCAAGAAGTTAATTTCCCTACAGTCCCATGTTGGAGAGAGTTTCAAATTATACTCATTCAAATTTAAATAACTGACAAAGGTCATAAATTCCAAATCTGACCCCTTCCAAATTATGATAACATCATCTATATATCGCCGCCATAGGACCAGGTTCTCCACCCAGTCATGCCCTGACCACACGCAGAGGTCTTCCCATCTGCGCATGTATATTGACATAACTGGGGGCGAACCTGGTACCCATGGCGATCCCTACCAGTTGAAGAAAAAATTATTCATCAAAAAAGAAATAATTATGTTCCAATATAAACCGAATACCCAAAAGTATGAAAGTTTTAAGGCCTAGAGAAATTTCTCCATCTTTGTCCAAATAAAAGGCAACTGCCTCCAACACAAGATTGTGGCTAATGACCGTATACAGCGAGGTCACATCCAATGTGGCCCAGCTGTAACCCTCTTGCCATTCCAGATTTTCAATCTCTTGTAAAAACGATTTTGTGTCCTTGGTGTATGATAGTGCCTTTTGCGCATGTTTTTGTAAATAAAAATCTAAAAATGCAGATAAATTAGCTGTAATTGATTCAATGCCACTAATTATTGGGCGTCCTGGCGGATTTCTTAAATTTTGGTGAATTTTTGGAATAAAGTAAAAAATCGGAATAACTGGATGTGGGTTCCAAAGATATTCAAAATTCCTATTAGAAATAATACCCTCGGTTTTTAGCTTCTTCCAAAAGGTTTTTAAGTTCTTTGTTGAAGGCCAATGTGGGATCACTCCCACGTTTTTTATAGGTCCTACCATCTGCCAAAATACTAAAGGCTTCTTGTTGGTAATATTGCTCCGACATGATCACTATTGCTCCGCCTTTGTCCGCCTCCTTAATAATAATATCCTCCCTTGAGGTAAGATTATTTAATGCTAGTTGTTCCCCCTTAGTCAAATTTTGTGATCGATTCCCTCCCTTATGTTTGTTCATTCCTGCCCATTTTTCAAAGTCCTTCTCAACCAAACTCTCGAAAGTCTCCAAGTGAGACCCTTTACTCTGCACTGGAAAGAACTTAGACCTTGGTTTAAATTTCTTATGAATGCTATTTAGCTCGTCTCCAACATCTTCCCCAGTTGGAATGGGAAATTTCAAAAAATGTCTTGTCACCGTCATGGATCTAATAAATTTTTTTAAATCAATATACAATTGGAAATCATCCGCCTCCTGATTAGGAGCAAATTTCATTCCATTCTCTAACAACTGAATCTCCTGTTCTGTCACTCCAGACAAATTCACAATACCCCTTCTCAATTCTTCCCCTTATTCTTCTAATCCCTCCCTTGATGTCTGTCCTGGTCCTCTGCTCGTTTTCTTTTTTGTGGGGATTCTGTATATAGGTGAGAGAACCGGTTGGGATGTTCCCATCTTTTCTCCCGAGGGCGCAAATAATTTGTGATCGTTTTCTCTTTGGGGGCTCTTGTCCTCCCTTGAAAATTTTCCTCTTCCCTTAAGTTAGAGGTGTACCCTTTTTTATTCTCATCTTTGTTTTTCAGGGCCTGTGCATAAGATCCAAACCAGTGCGCTCCTCCACAAGGG